GTTAATTGCTCTAATAAGTACCGACTTATTCTTGTTAGTCAAGTACGCTAATTCCTAATGACTGGATTTTGAAAACTATTTTCGAATTTGCTTTCAGGTGTTCAAATATCGATGTTTTTAACGGAGCATGACCGAAATGACAAATGTCTCATATTGGAAGCATGCAGTATCTGTCCATGCTGACAATGCGAAATATGATAGATGATCAAATAATAACCGAATTCAATTCTGATAGAAGGTACACGGAAGTAACATCGTAATTCAACCGTTCACAGCAGGAATTTACTTCTCAAGCAGATGTATGCAAAATTTGCCAAGGTTATGGTGATCGTCTTCGTGAATCCTACGTTATGATATAAATAATGGCTAATATATGAGTCCTCAACGACAATTTTTTACCGGACTGCTCTGCCACTTTGCTGTAGTTGTGTAAGGAGTTCGTTAAGTAAGCCACGTCTCCACTGTATTTTAGTATCTGCAGTGTCGGATGCATCTTGCATCATTTTTCCAATGAAGCCATCGCTCTCGTTCCGGGCAATGATCCAGGAGCTGCTGCTCCTCATACACTACCTCTCAAGGGACGTTCTTACACCGGATGAAATTACACAACATTTTGCACCGCCTCCCTCCTTACATGGATATAGATAATAGTGCATAAGCAAAGCTATCAACACGTCTGTATCTCGAATCCATTCGTAGTAAGTGAAGTAATCGTAAAGTTGAGATTCACAATAGCGTATGGATAGCAAATGCTTGAACCTCAAGAACGACTGGATTGTGGCGTTTAAAGCTTCAGCAAATTCAGGTTGTGAAGGCTTGACGGTCAAAAGTGCAGAACGTTCGTTTACTGAATCATCTGAAATTGCATTGCTGCAGATGACTGTTACGATTTCCTTAGATCGATCCCTCAAGTTTACAAACGGGTGGGGCGCTGAATTAATCTTGCTTTCGCAACGCCTGCTGTTCAAAAATATATAGGGCGGAAACTTTCACGTTTCGTCCTTTCATAGGGAAGAACGACGACTGTATTCATTTAGCATCACAGTACTGCTGTAATTCGAGCAGGAAGCCAAAATGACTAAACAGGAAAGTACAAACTGTAAACACCGTTGATAATCATTGGTGTCATAACAGCCCAGAAAGCGTTCTTGATGATTACGTAATGTTTGTTCTGTCTTTGCGAGACTGAAATTCCGTGTCAGGCTATCGTATCGGCATCAGTACTGAGCGAAATCGTCAGGGATTTACCTTTTAACAGATTGTGCGCTCTTTAAAATTATGAGCGTTTTCAGTCTACGCTAAAAGACAGTTTTGAGAAGCCTGTCAGTACGTTTCGAAATATGGAATAGTTTTGGTGCAGTCTCAGCCAGAAGGACAAGCATCAAACTGACACTTGCTGTTAAACCCAAAATAAATGGCTACTTAATGTGCGAACACGCCTACGGAAAATGTCACTCGTGTTTGTTTTGAAACAGGTTTTAATTCAGCCAAGCGCAACGATGCGATGAATTCATACAACATTGCAGATGCTGTAGCAAGTAATCTGTTGTTTACTTACAAGGTCCCTTAAGCCGTAAGAAGCACCTAGACGGTGCGATAAACCCGGCGAAGTTACAAAAGAATTATAATTCGATATCAAAAACGCAGTTTCCCGTAAACTCACGATATCGGGTCTGGTTATTCTGAATGATGTTTTATTGTGCTTTTTAAAGTACACCCCAGGAATTTTAGTCGTACAGAACTGGCATGACCAAGTAAAGGATCGCATGCTTAATCGAAACATGACAAAGCAATTATTCTAAAGTCATACGGTAACCGCGAATGCCTATCAGGAACCCCAAAGCCCTTAAACGGTTGACTGGCGAGAAAATGATAACCCGTAGTTTAAAAATGTCTAAAATATTTCTTTATGGCAAATCCACTTAAAAGAAAGGCGCTTCCGTCAGAAAGGTGAATGGAGGAATGCGGTGTCATGATTCGTAATAACATCTCACAAAAGTGCGATGAAGTTCTTTGTCATGTCCTTTACTTTCTGAACGAATAACAAATAGGTCGGTGGAAGATCTTGAAAGGTCTGGTGGGCGATATCAGGAAATAAATAGAGAAAGTATCAAGGACACTTAGTTTATCAAAATCTGATAAAATTTAGTATAGTTTCGCCGTCTGAATAAAGTACCACGTTTCACATGTCAGTTTAACCCGAAGAAGGGCTGAAGGCGAAACAAGAATTCACCGAATTGGCTCAGTTTCACAACGTACGGAGAGATGAGGACTGAGTGCATAAGATCCGACAACGTCTTGATCACAGGTCGTGATGCCCCGAGGAATTTTTTAAATTCGCTTTGTATCTTTTGATGTGATCTATCAAGCATCGTCTGAAACATCCATTCACTTTATCTGTGGGTCATCCTATCATATCGATGTGGCGATCCGCTTTTTGAATCAAACGGTCGACAGCACGAAGAAAAAAATTCATCATTAATATTTTTCTTTTTTGGGTTAATAACGACGGCGGTTAGCAGTCGTTTCATCCGGATATCCATGGATAGCAACTGGCGATGGCTTAGGGCTGCTGAAGGAGGCCTTACATTGTAAGACGACACGTAAATTCTAACCATTTGTTATAGCTTGGTGAACTCAGTGGCTCACTAACTATCAAAGATGGAATGAATCTCAACATTTACGACGTTATTAGAAGTGGAAAGCAAAGTGCATGTAGTGGATTACTGAAAAATTTCGTCAGAGCTTGGGTCTGTTGATTACAGGAATTCCTTGTTCGCCTAAAATACATCAAGGCTTGATGAACCCATACTTACTCAAGTGTGTTTTCCAGTAACGACGATTAAATGGAGGTTTGAGTTTTACCTCAGAAAGTTAATAGTCAGTGGAACATAGAACCGTTTCAGGTACAGTAAGTTGCTTATTGAGCATGAACGATATTTGGTATTGGTCATTGCTTATCCGAAAGCAATAAATGCAAAAAGTACCGCAAAATAGTCGAGGTTTCGAGCACCGTGAAAAGGTTTTTTGCGACCTTACGAGCGTGTCAGGCGATAGACTCAGATTAAATATAACAAACGTTACGAAAAGAAAGAGTTGAAGTGTCTCTTTTCGCAAGGCGGTGCTAGACATAAGGTCGGTTCAATTAATGGCCTGAAGAATGCGGTCGCGCAGCGCATAATCGAGTCGTTCAGAGCAGTGAATGAATTTTCGGCACTCTCAGGCGGCTTGCATTAGCTGTAGGGCTAGACTTTCGCTCTGGCTAGGAGAAACTGTTTCATAATTCGATTTTGCAACTCGAGATCATATCATTTATTATGTACACTTTCAATGAGCTATAAAGAGGACTGCCACAGGTTACCTATTTTTAATTAGGCATTCACTGCGTTTATACAGGTGCACTCAGAGTTCAGAGAGGTTGAGTAACGAGTCGTC